CAATTAGGTACCATCTGCTGCTGTGCGACGCGTGATAAGTGCGGCAGTCGGGAAGGATAGGAAAAGAGCATATGGGCCGCAATGGAAAAGAGGTACTGCTTCTGAGCATACCGTGGCCAAGAACGAGTGTACGAAAGTGCTATGGCAGTGGTGGATGTGGAGTGAGGATATGCCAAGAGCCGCGAATGGCGGAGAGATTTGACATCTGAGGCATGCGTTCGAAGGACAAGACGATTCTGTAAGAGGAGGGTTGAGGAAGCTGACGAGGCTGAGGTGCGGCCAGAGATGGCATGCTCCGCTAAAGCGCAGATCCACTGACCGGATGCTACCGCTTCAATAGTTTTGTACGAGGGTAGAAACATGTCTGTTTTTGCGAATGTGGCAGGGATTCTGAATATACTTGTAGGGGAGAGCGCGAGGAGGATGGCTTTGCGAATACCGCCGGCATGCAACACCCGTAATTAGCGGGAAGAGTTGCCCTTGCTCACGCTCATTAATGGCCCGCCGTCCACGTCCATCTCTACAATCCCCACTGCGCCCCTCTCAAGCTGCCCCCGAACGGCACGTTGCTCCGACGTGCATCCGAGCTGCCCCTGCTCTCCAAAATTGATAGCAACAAATCAATGGCGACTTGAAAGCATCCCTGACCTGCATCACGGCGAGCTCGGCGGCGAGCTCCAGCGGGCACGTAGAAATCGGAAAGCAGGCGGCTGTGGCCCGGAGAGCATTCCGCGCTTGCTCCCCGACTGCACGGGGACAACGAGGCAATGGGTGTAGTGCAGAAACGCGCGAGGCGCGACCACCATCCGCGGTCAACTGGAGGGTCACGCACGGATAGGCCAATGTGTACAATGAAGCGGACACGCGCGGGAGTTTGAAGGTAAAGCGGTAGGCAAGCGGTGAAGGTGGAACGGCGCGGCTCTGGGAAGGTGTATGCAGAACTGGCCCGTGCTCATACAATCTGCCTCTCACGGGGAACAGTCCCTCGCTCGCCCCCCTCATCCCCCCAACCGAGTGAATTATATGGTAACGAACCGCTCTGCGCCTTAGCGAACCCCTTTCCCCCACCCACACCGTCGTCCATAGCCCCGCTCTTTATAAACAGCCAACCCCGCCGTACTAGCTTTCGTTCCTCTCCCCTCCTCACCCTTCCTCCCGACGCTCATCATCTCATCTTGACTCCTTTTTTTTCGTTCTACGATACCACCAACTCTCCAACATGTTTCCCACCGCCTCCCCCCAAACACCGTTCTTCCCTATCGGTTGCCCTACAGAGCCTCCCCCTAACTCCCTCGACGCTTTCGTTTCTCGCTTCACTCCTCCCGCTCCCAAACCTCTTACCCCCCCACCTGCTTGCAAGGGCTGCTCCAAGCGCAAGCCCAAAGGGATCATTCGCTTTCTACCAGATGGAACCCCTTGGACTTGTGCCAGGTGCAAAACTGTCATCACCCCCGTCCGCCGTAGCGGATCGGGCGGCGTTGCAACGCTTTGCAACGCATGCCGCTTGCGCCGCTCCAAAAACATCCGCGCCGCCCTCGAAGGGGGTATTTCCAAGAAGCGCGGGAAGAAGGGGGCCAACGCCAAGGTCAAATCGAGTGAACGCAAGGCAGTTGCGCAGAAAAAGACGTTCAAGAAGGCTGTTGCGCTGCAGCAACACCGACAAGATGTGCCAGTTGCCAACAATACGAAACAGCCTGGCCGCTTTGTTCACCATGGAAACGACCAACAACCGAATCAAAACACACCGGCGCTTCGGGAGCAGCCAGCCCGAGTCTCGCAGGCTCCTGGGCGTGTACACTACGTCATTAAGGAGGAGCAATGCGCGACAATTGAGCAGTCTGCGTATGGCACAGCGCAGCACCAGCCTCCCGCGCATTGGGAAGCACAGTACCAGCCTCCATATGGTTCCCCGGAAGAGCAATCTCCAGCCTCGGACACTTCATATGAAACTTACGCTGTCAAGGATCACAGCATCCCGGTAGAGTATTTGCCGGTCACCGCGCAACACCAGGAGCGGGTATATCGGGAGGCAATACAAGAGGAGCTCGCCGCAGCGGTCGGCTGGGAAGCCCAGAAAAAATGCGTCCCTTGGCCGGTGGCAGGAGGCTACGCTCCCGATGGCCACATCACTGAAGGCGAGGTGGAAGCCTACAGGGCAACGAAAATGGAGTATCACATCTATTTGGATCGATAACGTTGCACGCGAATGTGATGAGGACGCAGGAGAGGCAGGGTGAGCATGAGGGCACGCTGAGCGATAGATATGAAGACCAAGTGTGTTCACCAGCACTGCCATTGTCGATGAGCACGGAGAGCGACGAAGTGCTGGCGGCAATCGCTTGCGGGATGGAGGGTGCTTCGCACGTGACGGATGCGCCATCTCCCCTACCGTCGGCGTTGGAGCCGATGGCAGCGGGGCTGCAGCGGTGTCTACAGAGCATCGCTGGACGAATTGCATCACAGAAACTGATGCTGCACCGCCTGAACGAGGTGCAGTTTCAACTACTCGCCGACGGGAACATTGGAGATGCGGTATCACAGGCGCGCCGGGAGATTGCGGGGCTGAGGGACTACGGTCGTGATACGATAGAAGTGATGAGGGGGTTTGCTACAGCTCTGCTTGGCGGAAGGGAGTGAGACGTGGGACCAAGGTTGGAGGAAAAGGCTTTAGTTGTATGTAATGCGTGCTCATCGTGTGTTTGTCGTTCAGTAAATTTTTTTTGCGTGTTTCAAAGTGTGCGAAACGGGTGGTGTCGGTAGAGTTTGAACCGAGAGTGCAGATGCGGCCGTCGCCGCGCTACAGTACGAGCGAGATGGAAGGGTTTGACCTGAACAGGTGGCGTTCACGCCACCTGCATAGAGCATCGCGAATGGGACATGGGCAACCTATCATTCGTAAGGCATGTGTGCGGGCAGCGAGCGGGACGCTGTATCGAGGGACGAGGGAGAAAGGAAAGGGTGGAAGAGGGACGGACGAGCGGGACGCTGTATCGAGGGACGAGGGAGAAAGGAAAGGGTGGAAGAGGGACGGACGTGGGAGAAGAGTGTCTGAAGAGTGTCACGGGCACCTCATTGGCATGTTGGCTTGAATGTTTGAAGGTCATTGCAAGAGCGGATGCGAGATTTCAACGTCACAGGAGTGATGGAAAAACTTGGACAAAGACGAGAAGAACGATAGAACGATACTGGTACAGTTGCATACATATCATATATACATACCGATCATAAGGCCAAAAGCCTCCCAGTGCTCCGTGGGGGAGGTTTCGACGGCTAGGTACAAAAAATCGCTGACGCGTCTCTCATCTTGTCAGACTTCGAATAATTGAACAACTGAAGGGGGGTTGCCCTACATTTTGGAACGCCAAAATAGCTCGGATATGCAAATTATTTGAAAACAACCGTATGGGGGAGGTGGGGGGGCGCAGCGGCCGCGAGGAAGGGCGCGGCTCTACAGCGCTGGGAGGGGCCAGCTGTGGACGCGGAGTCGTGCGGTGTGACGCGCGCGTGTCGACGGCGCGAGCGCGTGCCATAGACTCACGATGCAGCGGGCGTCAGGTGGGGGGGCGCAGCGGCCGCGAGGAAGGGCGCGGCTCTACAGCGCTGGGAGGGTCCAGCTGTGGACGCGGAGTCGTGCGGTGTGACGCGCGCGTGTCGACGGCGCGAGCGCGTGCCATAGACTCACGGTGCAGCGGGCGTCACGGGGTGGGGCGCGACTCTGCAGCGCTGGGAGGGGCCGGCTGTGGACGCGGAGTCGTGCGGTGTGACGCGCACGTGTTGACAGCACGAGCGCGAGTCATAGGCTCACGGCGCAACGGGCGTCACGGGGTGGGGCGCGAATTTTGCGTTTTCGTGGGAGAGGCGTCGGACACCAGCGACGGCGTCGGTCACCTTTATAATAATATTAAAAACGTCAATAAATGTTGCAGATTTCAATTGTATGTCGCCAATTTTTACAGCATACATCTACTTTACGGCGCAGGGGGGGGAGAGAGGGGGACGCACACCGTCTTTCAGCCCACAAAAACTGTACGCATGTGATTTGGGACGTACCGTATATTTTCATAATCAATTTGAATCGAACACGTCACCCGCCGCCTGGAAACCAAATGACGACGTTGTGCTCTGTAGAGCATGACGTCATTGTTACTAGAGAAAGTTTTGGAATAATAAAAATAATGGCAACATTATAATAGCATATATGAAATATTTTTTCAAAATATTACACGAACAAACGCTGTACGATTTTCATTAAGGACATATATTTTTATCACCAATTCGAACATTACACGTCATCCCCCATTATAGAAACATGATTACTACGTCATTGTCATTCATTTACTGAACGCGGTTGTGCAGTCGTACTGCGTACTGTTGATGCTTTAAAATTTATTATTAAGGGATGAGCCACCGCCCTCAACGGACAATTAAAAATTTAAAAACCCAGTTGGCATAAACTAGGCGCACTGCAAACAGAATACAAATCCTATTGTGGCGCCAATATGCCGATGCCCTTGCGTATTATTCGAAGGACTGGTTCATGCAGGAATTAAAAAAACAGAACTATCCCACACATACCAGCTGATATGAGTGAATGTATTAAATTATCATACTAAATGTAAGAATCATAAGAATTTCACTTCTTTTAACTTGACGATGCTACGGTGGAGGAATGTAGTTACAATTATAGAACTTTACGACAAATTGTCTTGTATGAACAAATAAGATCCCCCATTTATGTAAAAGGTGTATCATGTTTGTTCAACATACGTGTAGGGGTTGAAGGAAGGGAAAATGTTCACACGCTACATACCACTACCCTATGTTTAGTTCCGGCGTCAGTTCCCGCGGGACGATACGTTTTTGGCACATGTCAGGATCGATACGTAATGACAAAAAACGTATCGTCCAGGCCTGATTCGACGTATGTGCGATTTTGGTACTGTCTACGGTATATGGCCCAAAACGTATCGTGCCGGGCGGTTTTAACGGCGACGGTTTTCTGGTGGGACGATACGTTTTAGGCCGATTTACACGGCGGCACCACCATACGCGCTGTATTGGCAACATTGCTGTTGGGAATTTCTGACTAAAATTTTGCCGACGGCGGCGCACAGCCAATAAAATGTCAGTGCGCAAAATTTAGTTTTTGCCGTGTGCGATTAGAGGCGCATGAGCAATATTATTAACTTCATATTTTATCACGTACCGTGTCCCTCGTCTGGCAAGATTGTCAGATGCCCAAAACGTATCGTGCTGGGTGGGGCAATTACAGCAGGCAGATTTAGTGGCAGGGCCTTATACTGCACTAACAGTGTCCTAATGCGCATGTACGAGTTACACAATAAGGCGGCGTAATTTATGTCCTGAACATCAAAGCTTTCTAAGTTATTTACTGCGCGAAATTGAAAAGCGCCGTATGCAGGTTTCGATGATCGTTGCCTCAACGACGCATTTTGGACGGGTGTGTCAGAGATGCGTTGGGGAGGGATGCGCGCACGATGCGTTCTGGAGAGGTGCGTCTAGGATGCGAGCTGAGGGGGTGCGAGAATGATGCGTTGGAAGGGGTGCCAGAATGCTACGTTGGAGAGGGGTGCGCTCGTGATGTGTTCTATAGGGGTGCGCTCATCATTCGTTTTAGAGAGATGCCAGAATGATACGTTCGAGAGGGGTGCTGCCACGACGCGTTCTAAGGGGGTGCGAGATTGATGCGTTCGGGAGGGGTGCGCCCATGATGCGGTCTGGAGGGGCGCGAGAACAATGCATTTTGGAAGGGTGCGAGAATGATACGTTCGGGAGGGGTGCGCCCACGATGCGTTCTGAAGGGGTGCGAGAATGATACGTTCGAGAGGGGTGCGCCCACGACGCGTTCTAGGGGGGTGCGAGATTGATGCGTTCGGGAGGGGTGCGAGAATGATACGTTCGGGAGAGGTGCGCCCACGATGCGTTCTGAAGGGGTGCCAGAATGATACGTTCGAGAGGGGTGCGCCCATGATGCGTTCTGGAGGGGCGCGAGAACGATGCGTTTTGGAAGGGTGGGAGAATGATACTTTGGAGAGGGCTACTCGCAAGACGCGTCCTGCAAGGGGCCTGCACGGTGAGTTTGCATGTTTCTTTTCTGTTTCAGCTACTTCTGTAGTAGATGGCCGTTACGAAAGCACAACTGAAAATTTTGTGGGGTTGTTTCTGTAGTGGAGAAACATCGCGATGGACGTCTGTTCATTACGGGAAAAGTCGGTGTCCCGTGTCTGATGGGTGAAGAAGAGGAGGCGGGCAACATGACTAGCATATCTTCGTTCTGCCACGGATTGAACCCGTTGGAAGGGCGTAGTGCCGTGGAGGTTTATTGCTTGACGAAATCCATGCGTGACGTCCCTGACGACCTTGGCGATACTTTAAAAGTATAGATGGACGCAGGTTGCAACCGTGGATAAAGTTGCTTGAACGTCCTCCGTCGTGACGGCACCTGTGAGTTGAGCTGCCTTCTCACGGCGTAAAGGCAGAGCTTCGAGGGCTTCATCAAAGTCGGTGATCGACAGGAATGTGTTGCGGAGGGCGATGCCGGAGTCTGCGTCATTTTCCTCCAATTCGGTATGAGATCGTCGACCCGGGGCCAGGTCCGAACTGGAACACGTTAGACGGGCCAATACGTCGGCGGCACATTTGTGGAGCTCATAAGACGGGGAGTTGGGGTCTGGAGTGATGAGGTCTAGAGTTGAGTCGGTTGTTGTGTCCATGGGGAGGGGTGACGACACCGGGGCGGATTGGATGGGATCTTCTTCTTCTGAGTCAGGAATGCCGACTGGGACTTGGGAGACGGTGACCATTTCCCCGATTGGCTCTTCGGCCGTAACGGGAAAGTATTTGGTCTTGGCACCACTAAACAGAGACTGGGCGCGAACAGCACCGCGGCCAATGATTTGATCAACCTCGGTCGGCGAGGGGTTTCCCGGTGCATCAGGCGGGTGGACGGAGTTCATATGCTGTCGAAGCCGTTTCGGGGTGCCCTTGGAGAGCTTGCAAAGAGGACAGAAGTAGACTA